AGTCACTTTTCAGCTTTAGCCCGGGTACCTGTGTAGATATTCCAGATATTCCCCCAACCTGACAGACAGAGATGTTGAAGAAATTGTTTTATTCAAAGCAATATTTCCTGCTGGGAGGAGAAGTGTGATCTGGAATGGCCTTTCTCAGCTGAGATCAATACCATTTGCTTTTTTTTCCTCTCTCTCCTCCTTTCCACCTGACATGCAGAAGGACTGGTAGAAAGACTGGGTTTATGCTCACAGTTACAAACTAGATGGCTGGTAATCTGGGTATGAAGAGCTCTCTGGCCAACTGAAGTGCTTCTGAGCCAATTTGGGTCCAATCCCTTTGCTTGAATTAGAGCATGAGTTTTATCAGAGTGCTTTGAAATTTTAGTGTCAAACATGATTAATTTAGTGATTTAGGTTTCCATTAATCTTAGTGATTTAGTGTTCCAAATTCAGCAAGCTAGTTAAACATATACCTCACTCATGTGGACCATTCAAACGTTAAGTGAGCGCTTAAGCACTTTGCCTACCTAGAGAGATTTGCTTGAAAGCCTAAAAACAAGTATGTCCTGAGTTTGTTGAGTTTGGATGCACATTTGAGAATTTCTGTAAAAGGACAATTCACAGTTCCTCCTATCTGGGTTAGCCATTTAGGATGAGTTGAAGTGAGCTGATGATGTCATGTGGAGTCCTGAGTGGATTTATAAAATATTTGTAGTTGGGAGCTATAAAACTATCCGTTAATACTTTTTTTCTTCCCCTGTAGTTGACACAGGAAAAGAGAATTACTTTGTACACATCAGAATTACCGTATTTGCTGAGCTGAGTGTCACTGACATTCACAGGATCTAGCCCCTCCTAAAGCAGCAGGGCAGTAAAATGGATTTATTCCCTCTATGTAGATAAAGAAGTTTTGATACAGTGATAGAAGTGAAGTTGATACAGTGATACAGTGAAGAAGTTTTGATGCAGAAATATTGGGGCTGAGCCAGTCCTGGGGCCAACCTGTGTCCTTATGCTGTAGTCTGCTTTGATTAATTCACTTTGGAATCTGTTTTCAAGTCACACATTTCTGGGTTGCCATTTAATAAATCAGTTCTGCTCTGTTCTGTACATAAGTGTTTTCTATCAAGGCGCTTAGTAAAATGTTCCACTCCTGCTTTGCTTGCAATTGCATTTTGAATCTGAAGGGTCTGTCCTGTCCCTTTAACATGAAGGATTTCTGCTTTAGATCTCAGGATGTGTTTTTCCAATCTGAGCTCAGTTAATTATTAAAAATGAATTCAATAATTAAGGAGTTATACAGATTCATCTATTTTTCAGCACTTTTGAGTGTTTCTGCTTGCAGTACTTTTCGAGGGAAGAAATAATTTAAATATACTGCAGCTGTTGGTCTTTTAAACCTTCTACTCTCAAACAAGTCATTTATTTACCTGTTGCACAGCGCAGCTCTCATCACTGAAGGTTATTTTCTGAACCCTGTAGGTTTTATCTGACGTAGGGTTTATTTTCAATGGGAAACATGAGGCTCCGGCCTCCTAGGTCCTACAGGGTGGCCCTGCAGACTGAGTGCAGAGTCAAGGGTGCCCATGATCTCTAGGGAACCCCCTTTACCCACATTTGAGAAGGAAGTGGTGTCTTTCTGCTCGAGACTATTCTTTCCTGTGATTTTCATGAGTATATTTCATCTTCACATTTAAAAGTGCTTTATTATCAATATAGGTTATAAAATATAAAAATATATACTTTTATCTATAAATATATAAATATCTATGTGTATATGTGCTTATGGGGACAATCCTCCTCCCACCAGGGTTGAGTTAGATGTCTTGATTGAAGGAGATCCACAGTTATCATTTGGAATCAAGCAGATGATTACTAAATTCCTTGACTTGCTCAAGACCCCTTAAGAAAGATAACACCTTTTGCCTTTCTTTTGTCTAAGGAGTGCAAAAATCTGCATGCACCAAACACGATCAGGATCTGATTTATTTACCTAAGTGTTACTATAAAGAGTGATTGCAGACACCCTAGGGTGTCCATGGTATCTATATATGTTTGGCAATTAAGACATGGGATGTGTCAGACTTATGTCTTTTTGGAAGGACAGCTAGAAGTCAAACTAACATCTAAAAATGGGGTGTTTAGGCACCTAAAAGCTACCCACAGTGTCCAAACTAAGTCAAGTGAACTATAGACATCAGTGGTGGCAGTGACTAGGGTGCTTAGTGGGTATTTCACTCTTTTCCAAGCTGTCTCTGCTTAAACTTGTTGGATGCAGAAGTTGGAAGACATGGTGACTGTCTGTTTTCATATGAAGGGACTCAGGTGGGAAATAGATAGCAAGGATATATTTGTTTTTATTAAAAAAAGGAAAAAAAAAACACTTTTTTGAGTTAGCAGCAGTACATTGGCTAGCAATATGCTACAGCAAGAAAGACTTGGTTCTTCAGTCCAAGTTGGGGTCCTTCTTGCTTTTCTCTCTGGAGATCCCTGGCAACTTCCTAGGCCAAAAGGGTATGCTGACCAAACCCCATGCATCACTCAGGGCACCTTGTTATTTATAATAGAGGAGAATCTCAACTGCAGGCTTGGTTATGTTTTGGAATATAAAAAGGAATCAAGGAAAGAGGAGCCTGCTAGGTCTTTTGTTTGTTTTGTTGTTCCAATAAAAATATGCTTTAAAGTCCCGGAATTTGGAAGCAGATCTGGCACATACAAAGAAGTACTCTAATTCAAATCAATCACCAAGAAAAAAATGAAAAGATGTAAGGAAAAAAAAAAAAGAGAGGGAGAATGGGAGACAGAGAACAAAGCGGCAAAATCACTAGGGAAAAAAAAAAGAAAAAGTTTGGATACTTCGAATGTACTTCCTTTAGAATAAAAAAAAATGGGAAAGTTTTCCATAAAAAAGTTTATTTCTGAGCCTGAATGTGGAAAAAAGAAGTCCCGAGCTATTTCAAATTGAGCATGTTTGTAATGCAGAACTTTGACTTATACCTCTTATAGAAAGAGTATATATACATTATATTACATGTATGTGCATAGGAAGTGTATGTAATGGGAGGCAGTTGTGTGTCTGTACGTGAGTGTGCACACACACACAGGAATTGCTACTAGCTAAAGGCTAGTGCTGGAATGAAATGTATGTGTTCAACATGCAGTCCGTTGTTTGCTTTTATGTGAGAACTAAAAATTCAAAAGGTTCATTCAATAAAAGTCAATGAATGAATAATAACAATGAGATCACTCTGCTAGTAGAATATGCATAGGCAGATATCGCAAGAATTTTTTGAGGTGGCTGAGGTCATTGAAGGGGGAGATTCAGAAGAGCCTCCCCTTTGTACAGAGAGGATGAAATGTCTTCCTCTGGTTTTTGGAGACTTGCATTGCCTTTGTGCCACTAAAGTTATTAGGGGCTGACAAAAAAAGAGTTAGCCAAGGTCCTAAGAATCCATTCTTTCCATGTTCTTGGTACATTAGTATAAAGGATTATTCCAGAAAAAAAAAAAAAAAAAAAGCTTATAGACTATAAGGTACTAAGACTAGACTCTTTCCTTTTTTTCTTTTTTTTTTCATTCTTGTGGAAATTCATTGACTGATAGATGCTACTCCTCTTTTATTCCTGTGTTATGGAGGGAAGAACTGAGACACTGGGCTGTAAGCACTCAGAAAACAAAACAGAAGATGAGGAGAGAAGCTTGCTTAAAATAATTTGAAAATGATTTATTGGATACAACCTCTACCTTTAGTGATTTCTGGTATTATTACTTTTCTATAGTACAGCCAGGGAGGACAGTAACTTGCTGTGGGCTAAAGGTAAATTATGATCTATTGCAAAGGAGTGAAAGAAAAAAATATTCTGAAGGAGGGTGTATAAGGCATCTGCTCTCCCTTGATGGGGCTCAGTGGGTTGAATTTCTGTTGACCAATTGGTTCCAAAACCTGCTAGGGAAAAGGAAATGTAAGGAGTTAAAACAAACTTCATTATGCAAAAAAGAGAGGGGGAAATAGCAAGATGCTTTGTTGCTGGGACTGAGTGCATGCGGATTTGGTGGTCTGTACCCTGAAGAGGATTTGGGACTGTGGCCTCTATATTGCACTTCCAGTGGCTTCACAACAGTTGAATCTAACAGGTGAAAATGTATATTCAGATCTATTTGAGATAGCCACACTAAGTCCTCCTTAAGAATATTTTTTCAGCAGTGGCTTCTGAGATTCATTTCTTTTTTTCTGGAAAAAATCCCCAAACTTACAAAACTTGAAACTAATGTTATTTCAGCTTTTGGAAGAAAAACTGTGAACTTAATTCTTTTCAGATGAAACACTCACTTTATTTAAAAAAAAAAAAAGGAAAAAAAAGGTACTTGATTTTTAGCATTTCTCCTTGCATTAATTTTAAAAGGAACACTGATGAGAAAAAAATGAAAAAATTGCATGATTTTTTAAAATCCCTCATAATTGATTTTTAAAAATAATATACCGAACAATTTAAAAGACTTTATAATAGTCACAAAATACTCTTCAAAGCTGAGTAATCACTTTTCAACAAGTAAAGAACCTTTTATTTGAAAAGCAATCCAACTACTTGTTGTTAGGTATTATTATCACACACTTTCTTAGGACTTCCAGATTTACTCACTGCACCCAGAGGAGATTCCTTGAGAAATATCACCCATTCAAGGGGCTTTTTCCACCCAGGTCTCTGTATACCCAGCTCTGGAAACAAGTTGAGAGAGCTTTCCAAGCATCTGTAGAATGCTATTTCCATTCTCATTTTTGTCCTGAATTATCTCTATATTTCTTTCAAGGTTCATATATAGATGTACACACATATAAATACATCTGTATATTGTTTATTTATTTATCTATTCTAAACAGTTCTTTGAAAGCAGGTCTCACATTAACCATTTTAGTCTTGTATTTGACTTTGCAGCGCATTGGCTGTGTTGCATGAACAGGTAGGCTACTTAAGCCAAGATTTTAAAAAAACAACTATTTTTTTTTTTTAGGCTGGATGCCAAAAGTAGTTTTCACGCATTTGAAATCATCAGCTCGTGTTAATGACACTCGATTAGTGCTACAGGAACCTGTTGACTGGCAACCTGGCGATGAAATCGTTGTTGTGGGGACGGGCCTTGGAAATGGGCCACAGCAAGAGGAAAGGGCTGTGATTGAGTCTGTGAATGACACTGAGCTCTACCTCACGTCACCGCTCAGGTACCCTTCCACGGCCCAAGGGATTTCTGCAGCATGGGTAAACTGGCCGGACCTTTGGGCGAAGATTGGGATTTGCAGTTCCCTGTGGGAAAAAATGATAGATTAATTCCTTTAACAAAGGTGCTCACAGATATTTAGTTTCCTTTCTTCCCCTAAAACCAGTGGATATTCAGTCCTGAATGCCTCTCGCTATGCTGAAATCCCATACCCACCATGGACTCGGAATCCTTTCAGGCAGAAAACAGCAATGTCCAGTCTGGTGGCTTTAGCATAGCGTTGACTAACAATTTTACTGCAGGTCTACTTTCTTGTCTAATCACTTTTTTTTTTCCTTCTTCACAAAAAGTATCTAATTCTGTAAAAAAACCCTTCCATTCTTGATTTAGTTTTGGGAGATTGATTAACAAAACAATTACTGCAACTTGCAAAAATTGCTTCCCTGCTTCCAGTGAGCAGTAATTTGACTGTCTTATGTTCTCATTATCTCCTGTACAATAACATCTTGGTCAAACTATGCTTCTTATTACCATAATCAGGAGTCCCAGTATTGCAATATTTGGAAAATCTGGAGAGAAGGAGGCCTAACTGCAATGTTGATGAAGAACACTACTATCATTTTTAGATAGAAATATATACATTTTTTTGCTTGAGGAAGAAAATACCAACATTTTTTTTCACTGACATAAAAACTGATATGTTGTGGGAAGATGAAGGAAATTCAAATATTGAAATATTATGGTGAAAACATACATAACGTGAGGAGGTTTTGTGAACTGGTGAGGCAAAAAGATGAAAACAAATTGCAGCCAGGGATAAATATATCCAGCTCATAAACACAGACATACTGGATATGCCAGTGTAGAAGGTAAGAAGAGGCCTGGCTCCAGGATACAGCTGTCTAAAACTCAAAGACGGAAAGCACTCATAGTGCCCTACGTTCCCTCAGAACTTGCCCGTGTTTGTCAGAGGATCTGTGTAACCTGCCGGGGCATTCTGAGAACCAGATGTGAGTTTGAGTCTCCCTGGGAAAACAGATAAATTCAAGCTTTGTGCTGGAACTGCTCGTGCTGAACTAATTGGAAAACTTCTCAGCCGGTCCCTTCCCATTCCCAGACAGCTTGGGAGCTCAAAGCTAACCGAGATGCTCAGACCCCCTGCCACTTACCCAAAATATCATGGATCATTTGGGAAGCAGCTCTGAATTCAGGTGGTTGAGGTCATAGCTGAGAGTTCCTGTCCTCTGTCAGGTGCAGATGCTTTTTTGCCCCTTTAAATTTAAATAAATTTAAATTAAATAAATTTAAAATTTATTTGTTTTTGTGTTCTTTCCTAGATATTTTCACAGTGTTGGAGAGGAATGGGTGGATGGACAAATCGCGCCTTTGAGAGCTGTCGTGGCACTGATTAGCAGAAGGGTTGTGGTTCAAGGAAACATCACGAAGGAGAGGATGTCCCACCTCAGACAGTGTGCACAAGCAGACATTTCAGGAGGTGAGGAGGTCTTTTCTGACAGAAATGTACTGAGAAGGAAATGAATAATGACATTATTGCTTTATTAAAATCACATTTTAATATCACTATCTCTAAGTCTATACTATCACTTATTTCTATCACACTATAGTGTGTTAGAAATATTTCTTAATACGATAACATTGAAACGTAACAGAACCAGGAAAGCAAATTTATCTTTCCAGACATTGTTTGACATTGAAGTATGAAGTCTCAGGAGCTGAACTGAATTTCCTTGTAATATCTCAGTTGTATTATTTTCACATTGTTGTTTCAAGCCATCTTGGGACAGACCCTTTAGTTTTGCATGAGCCTAAGGGTGTAGAAAAGAAAGTATCTTCTGAAAATATGTTTCAGTGTACATATTATATTAAATTTTTAATTGTGTTTACTATCTAGTCACTTTAAGAAGAAAGGAAAACAAAACAGCCTGATGTTTTTTGTGCTCTTGAGTGTAAAATATTGAGATGTTGTTTAGTGTTTAGGGATCCCTACAAACAAAACCTGGTGATGGCTTCTTGTAATATTCAGTAATACTGGTGAAAAAATAAAAGACTTCTTAGTTCTTCTTTCATTTTACTTTTAACCTTCGACCATGAAGTTTGGCAGAGGGATTCCTGATTTACACCAGCTGACGAGGAAGCGGAGTCAGATGCAGTGATTATAGTTGGAGGAGAGTTAGGCTTTTTGGCTACCCAGGTATTATGGTTGCCTTTAAAATGAAATGCCTTGGGCTTTAAGGCTGTGACACAAGACTTCATTCAATATCTAGCAGCCAGATGCTTATATTACCTGTGAATTTATAGCCCATTCTATCTGGAACTCATAAATATAGTCATTGAAAAGAACTGAGGTTTTTATTTGCATTAAAGTATAAGAGGATTTCACAGAGAAGTCACCAAATTATGAGTGAGCAGTATTTTTGTTGTTAATTTACTTTCTTTAAAAGAAGAAATAGTGTTATTAAGACTAACAACCAATGCTAGAAGTTAAATTTCTCCCAATATATCCAAAGAAGAGGCCAAAGGTACAATTTTGTAGTCTGAATCTCCTTGTGCTGAAATATCACCAGCACAGACCCATGGGAGGGCACTTTTCTGGAGTGTCAGCTCCTTCCACAGCCCCATGACTTACCCTTTCTGTCTTCAAATTGTGAGTAGTGATGCTTTCTTACCCATCTACAGTGGCAGTAGGAAAAGCTAGAATTTGTAGAGTATTTTCCAAATGTTCTCATTTCAGCTTAGTTCAGTAAATCCATGCCCAATCACCTTTTCAGGAACCTCACCCAAGGTAAATCAATGTCAAATCCATCTTACCCATGCATTGGTCTATTTAAAATTGAACACAAGCAACTTCCCAAAGCATGAAACTACCA